AAAGGCCATTTCTTACCTGGATGTTTGAGAGGAAGCTTCCATTTTTGCCAAACAGCTGTGAAAATTGCTTGAAGTCCTTTTCAAATTTCTTTACAGTTTCTGCTAGCTGCTGGATTTTACTTTCTTTCTGTTCTAGGCTCTTATATAAGTCCGAAATCTATTAACAGTAATGTGAATGGGGTTATTTAAAATACATGCATACAAATTAAAATAATTTAAATATAGTTTTAGGAGAACACTGCATGTAAGAGTCATTCTAGGAAAAATATATATCTACATATACATATACATATATATATGTAGTATATGAAAATATTTACAGGTAGATTCCTATCTCATATTAGAAAAATATTTGCAGGTGCTTCAAAAAGCCAGATCCACAGATTTCTCATCAGCCTTTTCTGAACGGGGTCTCTTCATTCATTCAGTATGCACCAGAGTACTGATGGCCATATCACATTAGATGTTATATGTGCAGTATCAATAGCAGAAATTTGCTGAAAGTCTATCATACTCTTATATTCATTAGGTCTTTTAATCCTCAAAGAAGTCTACAAGTTGGGTATAATATCAGTCCCATTTTATAGATAAGAAAACAGAGGCAGAAAATTCGAGTAACTTGCCCAGCATACAGCTAGCAAGTGGTAGGCAAAACATGCTACTCTCTCAGAATGTGTAATCTATTTGAGGGTATAAGCGATACCTTAGAGTGATCCTAGACAGCTCTTTTCTTATCCCCACATCCATTTAATCAGCAATACTACCGACTTTAACTCCTAACACAACAAAACAACCAACTCTTGCATTTTTTCATTTCATCTCGTTTGCTTCAGCACTTATTTCAGCCTTCATTATTTCTCACCTGGGCTGATACACAGCTTCCTAAACGGTCCTACACTACCCCCCACACACATGCCAGAAGGGAAGCTGAATAAGAATCAGGATTGGCATTGATCCCATAGTCCACCATAACCCCAGAAACTGGTCTGGTGCCTGGCTTCACTATGTGTTTGATAAATATTTGTTCTGTGAATATATGAATGAATGAGTGGTCTCGCTGCCGTTAGTCTTGTTTTCCTCCAATTCATACTCCATACTGTGACCAGAATATGAAGAGACAAATCTGGTTTTCTCATCCCCCTTACATAACTATCTTTTACAGACCACACAGAGCTCTATATGATCTGTCTCTGGCTACCTTCACACCCCATGTGCTCCCTGCCCAGCAAGTCCACAGCTTCTATTTCCTGTCTGGCCCTGATCTCTCAGACACTTCTCCTTCCTCTAGAAAGTACCACTTTTAAACCTCCACTCAAGTGCATATCCTCTCAGAAATATTTCCTCACTAATACCACCTGCCTAGGCCACCTCTCAGGTTCCCAGACGCCCTGACCACACTCCACACTCCAGTATAGAAATTACCCTCAGTACTCTTGGTGCTTTTTTTTTGTTTTTTGTTTGTTTTGGTCTTTTTCTCCATTAGGTTGTTGAGGCTACATCTCACTTCTTTATCCCCAAAGCCAGGCACAGTGCCTGGCACACAGAGGGATCCATGTTTGATCAATGAACCAACAAATGGCTGCAACAGTCATCTGACCCTGCCCCCAGAATCCTCTGTTCAGACCCTGAGAGCTGAGTTCCACCTACCCACCAGACACATAAAAGCAAACACTGTCTCCTCTCCCAACCCTCACCTCTAACCCCTTATAGTGCCCATCTCCCTGCCTTCAAAGTTTACAGCTTGCATTCCAACCTCTGATGTCTCTCAGTACCTTCTCCCCACCCCCACTGACATAGGCTTAGGAGCCTTCACCATCACTATCACTACCTCCAGCATCTGGCCTCCACCTAATACTGAGCTGCTCATTATGTTGGCACTGGGCTAAGAGCTTAACTAAATTATCTCATTTCACCCTCACCACAACCTCATTTTATGAAATGAAGAAACTGGGGACAGGAGAGTTAATTAGCTTGTCCAAACCCATGGCTCAGGCCTTCTGGCTCCAGGTTCTCCACCCGCGTCAATCACAAGGTTCTACTGCTACACTGTCTAGTTCACTGCAACACCTTCTTGCCCGGTACCTCTGTCCTCATTCTCTTCTCTCCCTCATGCCCTTCCACGCTACCTCCAGCGGTCTTACCTTTTAAAACAATTAGTTGGCCAATTACAGGTTTCCTCTGCTATCTGAAAGTTCACTTTACACTGCTTTGCTTTGCAGAAGACCTACATTAGTAACTTTTTTTGCTAACCGAAAGAAATCTAAAGAGGATTTTCACTTGTACAAAATGGTAATCGCCTATTTGCTTTATGCCATTTCGGCTTACGAAGGTTTCACAGGAACACTCCACTTTTGGATAGCTGGGGAACCTGTATTTTCCTATTTAAAAACCTCCCTTAGCTCCCTATTACTGACAAACATTAGTTCAAACTTAGGTCCTTAAATCCTTTCTGAGATATGACAAAATATGAATGAAAAAAAAATAACTGAAATGTGGAGAATTCAAAACTTCTTGGTTTACATGAAAGGCACTGAGATCTGGATCCCACACACCAGTCTCCAGCCCACCCCTGTTCTACCTTCAGGAGTCTCTCCACCCCAAAACCCCATTTTCTTGAACCACCAACCTCTGTCATGCCTCCCTGCCTTGGCACAAGATTTCCTCTTCTGGAATGTCCTCTTTCCACCATACTTTAGCTGACATATCTTCCCTTCCTTCAAAATGCAGCTTAGATGTGCTACCTTGAAAAAACTTTTCCATCTCCCAGAGGAAACTGCCACAGGCTCTGGACTGACTTGCAGCACGTCCAACAAGGCACAGCACCTCCTCTGTTTACATTTTTGTGAATTCTTCAAGGGTGCAGACTCTGCCTTCTTTGGCTCAGAGCCCCTAGTGACTAACGTTGTCCCTGACATGTGGCAAATGTTTGCTGGATGAACAGATGAAAACAAGAGGCAACTAGTACAGAAAGAACCTGGGAATGGTTACCAGGCAGCAGGCCTCCTACCAAAGTTAGTTTAATTGGTTTTGTAATTTTCTCCAGGATGTAACCCTGCAACTCACCCACCTCCTTTAATATGGAATCAGACATCATAAAATAACCTGTAGTAGTAAAATTCAGCTCCCTCTCTGCAGATGGATGGTTTTCTTCCCAATGTGAGCTTCAGATGTCTGATCCTCAGATGTTCTAACAAAATAATTAACTCTTATAATAACTACTCAATAGAATCAGCATTTATTGAGGCCCACTATAAATACTCTGGCAGGCATTTGCACACATAATTTCACTTGTTATTGCAGCTCAGTGAAATAAATATGTATGTATGTATGCATTTATCAGGTTGTTAAGCTTCTCAAAGATTGGAGTTAAGACTTACTACAAAATATATAGAACACATAGTGCCTAGAACAGATAGTCAACTGTTGTGTCATGGTAAGACTGGTTTAATTTAAAACATCAAACACCAACTAAGCACCTACTAAGTGCTAAGTATTAATCAAAAGGTGTGTGGAGAGGCTGCAGAGAGGCAGCATGGTCTATCATGGGGAGCACTGGACTGAGAATCAGGGGACATTGGTCTGAGATTGAATTCTACCACATCAAAATTTCTTTGAACTTAGTTACTTCATCTGTTGAATGAGGGGGTTGGACCCAAAGAGGTCAAAGGTACCTTCCAGTTCTAATGTTCTATAATCCTATGAACCTGGCTACTTAGTGAAAACATCTACCTCCAGGTGGCCTACCCTGAAACAGAGAATGTAAAAACACCAACAATTGCAAATCCCAGAAATTCTGCCACCTCTCTTTCTATCTGAACCCTTGAGTATTCACCTGTTCTTCTAATTGGATGTTCTTTTCTAAAACCAGAAGCATGTGGTCCCGTAAGGCTGAATGCTCGTGATCTTGCAGGTTCCCCCGTTTCTCCTTCAACAGGAAGAGAAAAATAAGTCAGACTGTTGAAAGGCTCTAAAAATGAGGGTGGTGGTGGGATATTCTGTGAAAGCAGAATGTTAACAACTTTGCTTCTTTGTCTCAAGGTGGGCTGCGGGAAAAATGACCCCTCTAGGTCCTTTTCCCCAGCTTTAGGATTCTACATTACCCAAGAGTCAATTTTAAACTTACAGAGACTTTACACTTATAGGCCATTATCAAAATGTGCAGCGCTGATTTCTTCCCTTGTCCTGGGAATATACGACTGCAAGTTAACTGTAGCTGTTACCACCTCTCCACTCTTCCAATATAAAAGCTGTCTCCTTGGTGGGTTAGCACCAGATGAGTTTTAAGCCTTGGTTACTTCTCGCTCCTACCAAGCACATTTCTATGCTGTCTTCTATCACAGGTCTACAACCTAATCGTAATTTCAGCTCATGAAAATTTGTTTCCCTCAAAATCAAATAACGCATATGCAAGAAGAAAGGATTACTTCTTTTCTGATATTTAAAATATTTAATTGCAAACTGCTATGTTACTAGTAAAAGCAGATGTTAGGTGTTCTGGGTGATCGGTGGACTCTAAGCAAACATTTATCACCGATTTCCCTTCAGTTTAGAGTTGACCCCTCTTCCAGAGAACAACTCCCATCTCTAGCTCTGGTGCTGAGGTAATTTCTAGAATATAATCCAAATAGAAGTTGAGTCAACCTGTAAAGAAGATTTCTTTCAGAGCTGGAAAGCAACTCAGTATTTCATGCACTAGAAAAGTAAACCCTATCCTCTTTGCCAAGACAATCACTGGTTTGATACATGACAAATTTATGGACTCTTCATTGATTTTTTTTTCAGAGGCTTCTCATAATATACATTTTTTTCAAATAGGTTTTTAAAATTAGAGTAATATGTGCTTATGTCAAACAGTATCACAAGATGCAGAATGAAAAGTAAAAGCCCTCTTCTCTCCATCACCACCACACTCAATTCCCTTGTCTCATTTGACAGGGAAGATATATACACATTTTTAATGCAATGAGATCATACTATATTTAATCTTTTAACATACAGACCTTGTTCTCTTTATCAGATGTATAGTGTTACAAAATATAAATATATAATTGTATAGTCAGTACTTCAGTGAGGAACCTACAGGTTGTTTTTAGCTTTTTGTATGTTTTTTCCCTATGTTAACATCTTTGTGTGCATGTGTTTGTATGTAAATGTAATCATTGTATATTAATGAAAGGGTATCTGTTAGAGAAAGTCCTACCAGAAAAATGGCAAGGTCAATGTCTGGGTTCACTTTTTATTTTCATAGATATAACTAAACTGCCCTCAAAAAAAGTTGAATTTTATTAATTGTTTAAGTCTTTGTCAATTTGATGGTGAAAGTTATATTTCTTATTATTTTTACATTTATTTATGAGTGAGATTGAGTGTATGTTCTTATACCTATTAGCCAATAGAACTTTTTTTCTGGAACTGCCTATATATTCCTTTCCCTATGTTTCTAATAAGTTGAATAAGCTATCTACATATAAGAATTCTTTGTATATTAAGGAAAACAGCCCCTTTTTATCTGCTCATAGATTGTAGATATTACCCTCACTTCGTGGTTTGTCATTTGACTTTATGGTATTTTAAAAAACCATAGAAGTTTTAAATACTTTTCGTTAAACTTAACAAAACAATGGCTTCTGGTTTTGTTAGTCACCTAAGAAAGGCCGTTTTAATTTCAAGAATAAAAAGAAAATTCACTCCTGTTTTCTTCTAGTATTCTTATCAATTTTTTAAAATAAACATTTTATTTTGGAGTAATTTTAGATTTACAAAAAATGTGGAATAATACAGTGCATGATGTATTTTAATGCCTAAAACTTGAATTCATCTGAAACCTGTTAAAATGAGGTAGGACTCAAATTTTCCATCTTTTTATACAATTTATTGAATAATATTTTTAAAGGTGTTTAAAAGGTAATAAAATAGATTTTAAAATGTGATTTCAAATCAGTTTGTTTCAAAATACTTGGTGATAGGGATACCATAAAACTAAGATTTGTGATCAACAAAAGCATGACTCCAGCAGGTCTCCTAACCAATGGTAGAGGCCATGGAGTCCAAAGTAGGAATAATTACTGTGATGGTTAATTTTGTGTCAGCTTGCCTAGGCTATGGTGCCCAGTTGTTTGATCAAAACTAGTGTTGCTGTGAAGATACTTTGTAGATGTGATTAATATTTACAATCAGTTGACTTTAAAGTAGATTACCTTCCATTACGGGGAGCGCCTCATCCAATCAGCTGAATACCTTAGGAGCAAAGGACTGTTTCCCAAAGCAGCAGCACTTCTCATCAGAGAAACTGCAGCCTGAGTTTCCCCACTGCTGTCCTGCCCTGAGAACTTTAGACCTGCCAGCCCCTAAATCATATGAGCTAATTCCTGAAAAACAAATCTATCTATCTATCTATACATATATACACTAGATATAACTATATCTATCTATCTATCTATCTATCTATCTATCTATCTACCTACCTACCTACCTACCTACCTACCTACCTACTTACCTACCTACTTACCTACCTACCTATCATCTATCTTCTCTTACGGTTCTGTTTCTCTGGAGAACTCCAATTAACTGCGATAACAAATCTTAGTTTTATGGTATCCATGTCTATCACCAAGTATTTTTTTTTATCAACATATTATTGAAATACACTCTTGTGAAGGATTCACAGAAAAACAATGTGGTTAATACATTCACCCTTATTATTGAGTCCCCCCGACACCCCATTGCAGTCACTGTCCATCAGTGTAGTAAGATGCCACAGAGTCCCTATTTGTCTTCTCTGAGCTACACGGGGTCTTCCCTGTGACCCCACACACACCATGTGCACCAATCATGATACCCCTACAATCCCGTTCTCCCTCCCTCCCCACCTGCCCTCCCCCACCCCATCACCAAGTATTTTATCACCAAGAACCTCTTAAAAGTTCTCAGAGGCGAATGTCTTTCTGTATCCTAATGGAATCAACGAGTAGAGTGAACTTGCCAATTACATGGTAGAATGTAGAGGGAGAAACAGAAAAGGTGCGCCCCATACCTTTACAGTGCAGCCGTAATGCTTAAAAGGACAGTCTTGTTCGGCTTCAGGACACACAGCAAGGTGCTCACCCACCTACGGAATGGACAGCCTCGCGCTCAGAAACTCATCGCTGCTTCTCCGACTGCAGCAAGCAGGGGACCAAGGGTAGCTTGGGAAGAAGGGAGGGAACGGAAGGAAAAACGCCTTGCTAAGGCCTGGTGGGGGGAGAGCTATGGTGAAAACTCAGAAGACTTCTCAGGGAAAGGGGAGGGGAAAACAGAGACATGGTTATCAGGGGTATAATTTAAATCCTGGGCCTCTGCTGACAGGATTTTATCAAGCACACACCATAGTGATTACTAAAACTTTATGTTACATAACATCTACTGAGAGAATTATTTACAGTTACCTCAGTTCTTGGAATAATCTGCAAACACTTGTTGGGACAAGATACCGGGTACTCAGGACACAAGTTTTCCTCATGATTCTGAAACAGAGAAGGTGTGATGAAACAAACCAAGCCTTGTCTCCAAGGTTCCCTTTCAGGGCCTCGGAGTGTTTATACATATGTCTGTTTGGGGATCTGTGTCATGTGGCTTACCCTCTGCAGGCAAGTAGCATCAAAAAGGATTAGAGATGGTTGCTCTCTTGGTATCAGTCAACTCAATTCAATTTGTCATTATTCCAAGGGAGGGTCAGAGGGCACAGGACTACGAGGTCAGACTGTGGGAGCCATCACTATAGCTCCTGTGGCTCAGACACAAGTACCCCATCCTCTCTCTTCATGCCTACAACCTGCCTCTCCAGTTAGATCAGAGCATTCTGCTGAGGACACAGGGTCATCCAGCACCCAGCATCGCTCCTTGCATACCCAGCAGGTGCTCAAACGTATTTTTGCCAATGATAAATGAACAGAATCCCACTGATAAGAAGGCTTTTAGCTTTTCATAGAACTCTCAGATAAAGTTCTTCTTTAGACAGTTTTTGTACAAAAATAAATCCAGAAATGTGCTCTGGTATACCATCTGATTATGGATGGGACCTACTGTGACCACTCAGGCAGGATTTAGTCCCACAATTATTATTATTATTATTTTTACCTTTAGATTGATTGCTACCACCTCCTTTTTGCAATAAAGGCATTTTTCCTCTCGAAACTGGCAGTATGCACTCAAATGCTCATTCAGGTCTTTCCGAAGGACTGGTTCCTGACAGTTCTCATTAGAACAGTGCACAGCTTGGAATAAACACTGCTGCAGGTGGTCCTGCAACACATAAAACAGGCCAGCGGGTCCGAATCACCAGGACAGCTGGAGGGGAAGCCGGCTGGCAGGCCTAGTCCGGGAGGGAGGACATGAGGGGCAGCCGGGCAAAAAGGACTGCAGCGGGGAGCAGCCTCTGCTTGCAGGCTCTCAGTGGGGTCCCCCTTGCCCCTGTTGAGGAGGGAGCCTGGAGGGGGCCGCTTGGACAGAGGCTGTGAATGCCAGCCGTGCTTAGTGGGAGTTAGGAGGGCAGGGGAAGATGGGCGAAGAAGGAAGCGTGCTGAGTCTATTTTAGATTACCTAGGGACGTGCTCATACTCTCAAGTTAGTCCTTGAATATTTTCCTTAGACTTGCCATTAATTGGTCAATTCTTCAAGGACCTTATTTATTTCTTCTGTGCATCCTCCACCCCCACCCCTAGCACCAAATGCTGATCTCTGCACAGCAGATGGTAAAAGCCAGGACAGGGAAAAGAGGGGAGAAGAGAGGGGCATAGCCCAAGGAACATGGAGAAAGGGAAAGGATTAAAGGAAGAGAGGGAGGGAGAGAAAGCTGTTGCCAAGTGATAAAGAAAAGGACATACAGGAAATACAGGATGGTAGGCCCACGCTGGGAATGGTCAGTTTTGTAAAGTCAGGAAATGTTCAGAGCCAGAATATTTGAGAGTGAGGACACGGACAGTGTTCATTCCAGTGCCAAGCAGGCATATATCAAGTTATCAAAATCTCAGGTTATCACCATCCCTCTGCGAGGTCCTTTAAGGCAGGGTTGGCGAGTAAGGGCCTTGAGCCAAATCTGCCCTGCTGCTTCTTTTAGAAAGTTTTATTGGCGAACAGCCACATCTATCTGTTCACAGATTGTCTACGGCGGCTTTCCCTCTGAAATGTGAGAGCTGAGTAGCTGCAAGGGGCTGTACAGCCTGCAAAGCCTAAAAAATTCACTATCTGACTCTTGATAGAAACAGCTGACCACTTCTCAGAAGGAAAAAAAAGCAAACAGCTTTTTCACAGGAGGTAAGTAAATAGTATAGCTACTCTCCTTTACCTCTACTAATAAAAAACAAATAGTGACAGTTGAAATCCACATCTTCTTCAAAAGTCATTGATGCTACCTACCCTTCAGCTCTCACCAAAGCAGTCAACATTCATTGAGATTCTGCTACCTGAGAGATCCTACCCCTTCATGCAAGAGGAGGGAGGGAGGGAGGGCAGGGAATGAGGGGAAATGCAAAGGAAACCAGCCACTGGTCACTAGAATCTGATGATTGGGTCACCAAGGCTGATTAGTGGTCCCTTTGAGCCTCATTTCCTTTGCACGCTTAGTGACAACAAAGTCAGAAAAGATGTAAGACCTGATCTTACAAGGAAATCATTTTAAAGTGCCTGGGGGCTTGGGGGCGGTGATGGAGAAAAGACTGAATCACCTGACAGGTGTGCCAAAATGTGTGGATGGGAGGGAAAAATCTCAACAGCCTCCAAGCAATTCCCTGGAAGCTAGGGATGCCTGATCTCATTCATTCATGGTGTGACCAAACCTGATATGGACCTGCCAGGCAGAGCCACAGTTCCCATTAACAACCCTTCCCAGCTAGGGGGAAGGAACATGACTCCCCTTGGCTTCCCCTACGCCCCATTTGTTTGCATCTCATACCATTGCTTCACCTTTAAACTAGTTCCTAGCTCTGTTCTGGTCTGTTATCTGCCCCAAATCATAAACTCTAAGAGGCCAGGGCCCACAGCTGCTGAGAAACACCCACCCGAGTGCCTGCAAGTGTGTCTGGGCAGGGACCCGTGCAATTGTGTCATTTTGCTGTCATACCCTGTCTCCTACCCTAGGGACCTGAAATCCTTTACAAATTCTCCCAAAATGACAGGTCCTTCCTTGACCGTTCCTTTTGCCCAACATGTCCCACATCTTCTCTTTTGGATCAGTGATCCCTAACCCATACTTTAAGGCCTAGTGTATACAGCATGCCCATGCATTCCATACAAACCAACATTTTCACTCACCCTTAGCACTTGGTCTGCTGCCTTGCAGCCAGTGCACTGCTAGAAAGGGACTCTCTGAGGGTAACCCAATGATTTCCCACCATGCTTAACCCAGGAACTGTTACATTAATGTGTCCCATACATGTCCCTGGAAAAACAGCCAAGGCAAATATTGTTTATGAGTAATACCAACCTGGTATCGTCCCAGAATAATCTTGGCATTACATCCAGGAGCATTTTTGCAATATACATATAAATTGAGGACTTCCCTTTTACAACAATTGTCTTTAAACACCTACAAAAGAAACACAATAGGTCTTACACACTTCAAAGCTTTAGGGCAACATGAACAAAGCTATTATTAATTTGGCCTTCAAGTACATCTCAAAAGTTGGGTGGAAACTTCCAGACAGTGGTTGGAATGGAAATATCAGATTCATCACCACAAAAGAAAAGGCTCAGATACATCCGACAGGCCACCAAACATACAAGCCAGGTAAATCAATGGCTAGAGCAGCAGGTTGTAGCTAGGAAAATCTCACAGTGAACTTGACCTCCCATGCTCAAAGGTCAGGTGGTAGGGCTATGGCTACGGGTGATACTTTCAGCTTCCTGTCCCAGCGAAAACGTTTGTATTAGTCATCAGGTAGTGTCACTGAAGTTGCTATTTCAGCACAAACCAGGGGTTCGCTAACCTTCTCTATAAAGGGTCAGATGGTAAATAATTTCAGCTTTGCAGGTCACACTGCGATGTTCTCTGTTGCAACTATCCAACTTGGCTCTACACAGTACTTAAATGGATGGGCATGTCTGTGTTCCAAAAAGACATTATTTATGGAGAATGAAATGTGATTTCATGTAATTTTCATGTGTCACAAAACATTATTTTTCTTTTGTTTATTATAATAAATTTTTATTTTGAAATAGCTTATGACTTATAAGAAGTTGCAGAAGTAGTATAGAGTTCTTGTGTACCCCTCTTTTGATTTTTTTTATGATTTAAAAATATAAAAACAATTCTTAGCTCATAGGCAATACAAAAACAGATGGGAGGCTGGATTTGGCCCGACAGATCCCATCCCATGTTGCAGTCTCCCCTGGCCTAGTGGGTGAGGTTGACACAGTAGAGTACTGGCTTCTACTCAGCATTTGTACAACATATCTTAAGAGCATAAAGAAGGAGCATGTACATCAGACTAGTCCTGTTAGCAGAATTTTAAAGGAAGAAAACTTGAGCTTAAAAGGAAGTTTTAAGGGAGAATATCTTCATAACCATAGCTTAGGTAATCGTTTCTTAGATACAGCACTAAGAGAACAAGCAATCGAAACAAACAAACGATAAGTAAGACTTCATCAAAATGAAAAACTTTTTACTTCAAAGGACACCATCAAGAAAGTAAAAAAGACAACCCACAGAAAATATCTGCAGCTCCTACACTTGATGAGATACTTGTCTCTAGAATATATAAAGAACTCTTAGAACTCAACAATATACAAGAAAAATAACCCACTTAAAAAATGGGCAAAGGTACAATAGCCAAGAAATGGAAGCAACCTAAGTGTCCATCAGCAGATGAATGGGTAAAGAAGATGTAGTACATATACACCATGGAATATTATTCAGCCATAAGAAGAAAACAAATCCTACCATTTGCAACAACATGGATGGAGCTAGAGGGTATTATGCTCAGTGAAATAAGCCAGGCGCAGAAAGACAAGTATCAAATGATTTCACTCATCTGTGGAGTATAAGAACAAACAAAAAATTGAAGGAACAAAACAGCAGCAGACTCACAGAACCCAAGAATGGACTAACAGTTACCAAAGGGAAAGGGACTGGAGAGGATGGGTGGGAAGGGAGCAATAAGGGGGAAACAGGGGCATTCACACATAATCTGGGGGGAGGCATGGGGAAGGCAGTACAACACAGAGAAGACAAGTAGTGATTCTATAGCATCTTACTATGCTGATGGACAGTGACTGTAATGGGATATGTCATGGGGATTTGGTAATGGGGGGAGTCTAGTAACCATAATGTTGCTCATGTAATTGTACATTAATGATACCAAAAAAAAATGGGCAAAGGAATTGAATAGACATTTGTACAAAGAGGGTACATAAATGGCCGAGCACATGAAAAGATGCTCAACATAATTATTAGGGAAATACAAATCAAAAACACAAGATACCTCTTTATACCCACCAGGAAGGCTATAATCAAAAAGATGGCCAATAACAAATTTTGGCAAGGATCTGGAGAAACAGAACTCTCCTACCATGCTAGTAGGAATGTAAAATGGTGCAGCTGCTCGGTAAAGTAATCTGGCAGTTCCTCAGAACATCACACATGAATTACCATGACCCTATACATAGTTATTGTATGAGCCAGTAATTCCATTACTAGGTAAAGGTGACCCTCGAACAGCACAGGTTTGAACAGCCCAGGTCCACTTGCACATGGATTTTTTTCAATAAATATACTGGAAAAATTTATGGAGAGTTGCAACAATTTGAAAAAACATATTCTTTTTTAGCTTACTTTATTATAAGAGCACAGTATATGATATGTATATAAAATATGTGTTAATTGACTTTATGTTATCAGTAAGGCTTCCTTCTAGTCAACAGTAGGCTATTGGTAGTTAAGTTTTTGGGGAGACAGAATTTATACATGGATTTTCAACTGAAAGAGAGGCCAAATCCTCACATTACACAAGGGTCAACTGTATATACCCAAGAAACAGGTACCCTTTAAAAGTAAGTTTTATGGCATATGAATTAGATGTCAATAAAGCTATTGTTAGATATAATAATAATGATAATAATAATAATAATCAAAGGAAGTTTGAGAGATTAACCAGATGAGAAAGTGAATTCCAGGAAACAGGATGTTTCATTTCTCCAAGTGACTCAGTGGCACTGGAGCTAGTATAGGAAGGGGGTGATCAACAGAGACCCTAACACGCCTCTTGAACAGGGGTAGGAGTGGGTCTGACCTGCGCCCACAGCAGAGGAATGCGGATTCCAAGGAAGGTCCCTCTCCCCAACTCTCCTGCTCCAACCCAGGACACTGGCTTCTCTCTCACCCAGAGAACTGCTAAACCAAAGTAGTGATTTTCTTACCTCCTGAGATTTGATAACCTCCTTATCTACAGGGCAGAGTGGGACTGCATTTAATTCTCTGGAGAGAAAAATAAAAACAGAGCCAGAATTAAGATTTGGCCTCAACAGCTCTTCCAAGAGCAGCGCCAGCACTCCAGCTGAGCCATGCTTGGCCACCTGAAGTTCCTTCTGAGCAGCTTAGGCCTTGTCTTTGCTCATGCTGTTCCCTCCTCCCAGAAGAGCTTCCAAGACTCCAAGTTCAGCCCATCCCCCAGTCTGCCTGAAAAACTCCCATTCATCTTCCAAGATGCAAGTCAAACGGTGAGTCCCCCAGACAGCTAAATGCCCTCTGCCAGTGCTTCCACGGCAGTCCTTTGCTTATCACAACCTGTCTTCTTCACTAGAAGGAACATTCTAGAGGCAGAGACTGGGTCCTGCTCCACACTGGACCTTTAGCTCTTCACCTCTGCACATGAAGCTTAGCTAAGCACGGTGCCTGGAACAGATAGGTGCTGAATGGACGAGCCCATGGATGCGTGAGAATGTGCTGTGATAACCCCATTTCCAAGCTGGGGTACAGTGTGGGTACAGGTTCCTTACTGACCCTACAGAAGACCCAAATGCCTGCTTCCATGTCCGTCCTGGTCTCCTCCCTCAAAATGGCATGACCCAGTTTTTACAGCTGCCCTGGAGCAGACGGCACCCACGGCAGCGAGGCCCCTTCTGAATGTCACAGCACCTCTGCCTTAAGCAAAGAAAGGTCAGGGTGACTAGGACAGAGACCCCTGAGAGCTACAGGTCCTTCCCAACACAGATGCCTTTGCATGCGAGACAGGTGTGGTCTGAATCTTAAGAAAAGGAGTATCAGTACATGTGTGGCAAAAAATGGAGATTATGCCTCAAGATGACTCCTCAGAGAAGGGTCCTGGGAGAGCCCCTCTGCACATTCGTGGTCTGTGGCCAACCACAGCAATTCCAAAAACCTCAGTCACAGTCCCGCGGCCGCGGAGGACACTGAGATCCCAGGAGCACCCCCCTCTGCCTCTGGCTGGGCTGCGGGCCCTGCCCGCTCACCTCAGGGACAGGATGCAGTGCTGGCAGAAGCGGTGCCCGCAGCCCGTCTGCTGGGGGTTGTGGAGCACTGAGTGGCAGAAGGCACATCTGTAGCGCTCTTCTAATGGCTCCACAAACTGGTACTCTGCATGGGGCTCAAAGTCCAAGGAAATGGAGTTGCTGGAATTCTGGCGGATGAAACCACAGGGGACACCTCCTTGCTCCTCCGAAGAAGCCATTCTGGGGGTTAGGGAAGAGAAGGAACATCAAGCCTGGAGAACCCAGCTGACGTCAGGTGTGCCAATTACTGGTTTACTAAATAGTGACCACCACCCACGTGGCCATTCTGTCATGACTGTGTCACAGTAACAGCCCTCCTGCCAGTGGCGGGCTCCCACAGCGGGGAGAGGTCTTTGCGGTGCTCATGTGGGAGGCGGAACCAGGTGACGTCAAGCAGGATTCTATGAGACTTTGGCCTTTTGCCGATCCACCTTCCACAGGACGCTAAATTATCTGGCCAGTTTGGCTACACGCTTGGACAAAATACAACCAGGTATTAACTATAATCTGAGCAAACTCTTGTTATGGATTTTTCTTCCACTCAGTCAGGAAAATTGAAAAAAATGTTCTGTTAATATCTTTCAAAAGTGAGAATTTTGCACACCAATGCATTTCTTGCAATATATATTATATATTATATATATATATAATATATAATATATATATCATCACCATCAAGCCATACCACTTTTCACCTGAACTAAATAAAAGCCCATCAACTGCTTTACCCTGCAATCCATTCTCTATGCCATACTCAGGGTGATATTTTCAAAATGCAAGTGTGACTGTAGGTCATCTCTGCTCATTCAGTGGCTTTCCAGGGCTCTTGGGGAATAGGCCATAATGCTAAGAGGCTGCAAGATGGCATCTCCCCCTCCCAGCAGCCCCCTGGACCTCTCCTCCCCTTGTATTTGGCACTCCAGCCACACAGGCTTTTAGTTCTTCTAATACATCATGCTGTCTCCTGCCACAGGGCCTTCGCACAAACTGTTGCCTCTGTCCAGAGTACCTCCCCTATCTTCTTTCAGTCCTCTTCACTTAGTTAACTTGCACTCATGCTTCAAATTTCACTTCAAGTGTCACATCCACAGGTAAACTTTCTCTTCTCCCCCTGGTCTAACAGCAGCAGGCCCATTCACCAATCTGTAAAACATGCACAGCCTTCAAGGGATAAGGCAGAGGTAGGGACTTTTCACTATATAATCCTTTTGAGTTTTTGAACATGAATACATTACCTATTCACAAATAACTATACAAAATCAAAAACTAAAAACCCACTGTTATATCCATCATAGAACTAGGTTCCTTTCCTTCTAATTTCAAATACTTGATTTGAAATTAGACATGCATTTGTGTGATTACTTGATTTATATCTGTGCCCTTCAATGACACACAGGTTGCAGCCAGTCTTGCTCAGGGTTGCATCTCCAGCCTTTAGTGCTGAGCCAGGCATGAAGAACAACTCAGCTATTTGCTGATATCATGTTGTTGAATGGACTTTTTGAAAAACCCTGAACAGGGCAGTTATAACTAGTGTTGGCCTCTAACAGTGATTCTTAACCTTGTTTGAGCAAGGACTAGCCCCTGCCTTTGAAAATTTGATGAAAACTGTAGGTCTTCTCTCTATAAAATAGCATACACATCTGGCATCTGGACCTTTAAGGACCCTATGAACCCATTAGTGGTTGGTCTCCAGGTCTACAACAGCCCTGCCTCCACAGCAGAAATGCTATTGCTTTTGGCACAGGAGTGGCACTTTCAGAGTGTCTGGCAAATGGCTAAAGGGTGGGAGGCCATCGGGGGTGGGCCCCGTGGGCGATGTCCTTGCACATGGCTAGGGTCCAGGAAGGCTGGGCCTTCATGCTTGCTTGCTTTGGCTTGGTCTTGGAAGCAATCATGACTCTCCTGCGGCTGATGAGATCAGCCGGGCCTGAGAGCAGCTGCGTGACCTGACCATGGACACAAGAGATGAGTGGCCCCATTCAGCGCTCAGTTCTGCTCCAGTCAGTGGCTGGCCTCTCACTGCTGGAGCGGTGTGAGTCCAGGCTGCCACCTGGGAGAACAGGCAGAGCAGGCAACTGGCCTCATGCGGCAAATAAAGATTTCTCTCTGGAGACGCCCAGCGGACCAGGGGCTTTTTATTTTTTTAATGCTAGGGTTTGAGACCAAAGTCCCATCTTTTTCCTCTCTGCATGTGTTTCTTGCAGAACTTCAAGGGTGATTGTTCCCCTTTTAACATTGTTTTCCTATCTAGATTTAACAGAAGTTTCTATTATGAAGATGAGGCCGCACAGCACTTCACTTACATGCACAATCCTAGTAACAGAGGCTCACCCCCACCTCAGAGAAGTGGCAGAACCAGTTCCAAACTGCTTTAAACTGCCCTGTGTGCCCTAGTCTCAAGGGAAGTTGATGATTCCTGGGTGACACCCCCCCCCCCAAAAAGAGTCTCTCCTGAGGTCAGGCTCATGTGTGTCACATGGCATCTAAATGTGGACTCTCAGAGCCGTCCAAAGGCTTCCTAAAGCCACAGACTTCTTCATCCCCCAGAATAAGGTGGCAAGATGTATAAAACTCAATTCAGCTCCCCTCTGCTGAAAACCCAGAACAAGAATTTAATGAACTCATCTGTGTGTCTATTTTTCTCAACAATAGCAGTTCTCAAAATCCTGGTCTCAGGACCCTCTCTTTAGACTCTTAAAAATTGAGGACCCAAAGACCCAGAATAGCCAACACAATTTTGAAGTAGTAGAACAAAATTGGAGAACTGATACTACACAACTTCAAGATTTACAATAAATCTGCAATAATCAAGATAGTGTGATGTTGGTGAAAGAATAAATTGATCAGTGGATCAGAATAGAGAGCCCAGACATAGACCCACACAAGTAGAGTCAACAGTCAATCTCTGACCAAGGAGCAGAGGCAGTACATGGAGCAAAGACAGCCTTTTCACAATTGGTGCTCGAACAACTGGACAGCCACATGCCAAAAGATGAATCTAGACACGACCTTATAACCCTCACAAAAATTAACTCAAAATGGATCACAGACCTACATGTAAAACAGAAAACTATTAACTCCTAGAGGATAACATTGGGGAAAACCTAGATGACCTTGGGTTTGGCAATGACTTTTTAGATACAACACCAAAGGGCACAATCATCAAAGAGAGAATTTATAAGTTGGACTTCATTAAAATTAAAAACGTCTCCTTTGTTAAAGACACTGTCAAGAGAATGAGAAGACAAGCCTCTGACTGGAAGGAAGTATTTGCAGAAGACACATCTGATCAAGGACTGTGATCCAAAATGTGATCCAGGAAGTACGGAGATGGCAAATAAGCATATGAAAAGGTGCTCCACATCACAGTCACCAGGGAAATGCAAATTAAAACAATGTGATACCACTACGCACCTATTACAGTGGCCAAAACCCAGAACACTGACAACACCAAAGGCTGGTGAGGATATGGGGCAACAGGTATGTACTCTTGCATTGCTGGTAGGAATGCAATACTTTGGAGGACAGTTTGGCGGTTTCTTACATAACTAAACATTCTCTTACCATCTGATCCAGCAGTCTCACTCCTTGGCATTTACCCAAAGAAGTGGTTCACTTATGTCCCATATAAAGCCCTGCACATGGATGTTCATAGGAGCTTTGCTCATAATTGCCAAAACTTAGGAGCGATGAAAACGTCCATCAGTAGGTGAACAAATAAACTGCGGAATGAATAAATGGAATATTACTCAGCCTTAAAAAAGAAGTGAGCTATCAAGCCACGAAAAGACATGGAAGAACTTTAAATTAATATTACTAAGTGAAAGAAGCCAATCTGAAAAGGCTACTCACTGTATGATTCCAACTAGATGACAATCTGAAAGAGGCAAAATAATGGAGTCAGTAAAAGAAATTCATGGTTGCCATGGGTTAGGATGGATGGAGGGAGAGATGAATAGATGGAGTATAGTATTTTCTGGGCAGTGAAAATACTCTGTATGATTTTATAATGATGGATACATGTCATTAACCATTTGTCCAAACCCACAGAATGCAAGAGTGAACCCTAATGTTTGGATGATTATGATGTATCAAGGATAGCAGAAAGTGCCACCTCAAAATATGCTACTTTGGTATTAAGTTCCAGACACTTGAAAAACAACAAATGCTGAAAGAGGCTTTCTGTGAACACCTTATCTGCCTCAAGACAGATCCATCAAAAGGAACTCAATTATCATTAATCCCCTCCCCCAGGACTTTCATCAACCAGGGAAAACTGAGTCATCACAAGAGAAGAAACTAGAAGTTGACACCCTGACAGACTTTGTCACAAACTATCACACCTCCCATCTAATCTTGTAAGGGCCTGCTCATTTTTCCTAAGAATCATTTTCTCTCTTCTAAGAGGCCTACATCTTCCTTCCCCTTTCTCTCTAAAAGATGGTATTTAAGCCTGAAGTCTAAGCCACCTCAGAGAGTTACTCATTTCTCCCTGGGTCTCTCCCACATATACATGAGGTATATAATTAATAAACGTCTGTTTTCTTTTCTCGTTAACCAGTCTTTTACTACAGGAGTCTCAGCTAAGAACTTGGGAGAGGGAAAATTATTTCTCCTCCTCTACACTATCTAAGTTCATCAACAGTAACAAATGTGCCATTCTGATGGGGGACACTGATAATGGGGGAGGCAATGCATGTGTGAGGGCAGGGGGTATATGGGCAATCTCTGGACCTTCCGTTCCATTTTGCTATGAACCTAAAACCACTCTAAAACATAAAGTCTCCTAAAAAAAAAAATTGAGGTCCCTAAGAGTTTTTATGGAAGTTCTATCTATTGATATATTCCATATTTGAAATTAAAATTGAGGAATTAAAAAATATTTCTTTATTAATTCAGTTTAAGGTAATAATGAAGCAAGTGTATGTTAACATAAATAATATTTTTATAATAATAGAACTATAAAGGATGACGTTTCTCTGTTTAACAAATAACCATTTTCCCAAATGAAAAAAATCATTGAGAAGAGTGGCACTGATTTTCATTTTTGCACATCTCTGTTCAGGCTCAAAAGAAGATAGCTGCATTCGCATACTCTGTCCTGCACCGAGATTGTTACAGTGTCACATGTCATGTAGCTTCTGGGAAACACTCCTGTATGCTTGTGAAAGAAGGGA